CCCCCCCCCCAACCAGAGAAATTATCATGAGGAAGTCATATAACTAAGGTTTTCTTAAAACCTTTTTAACTTCAAGATTAAACTAGAAAATAAATGTGCTTTTAAAAACAGAAAATTAAGCTCTTTGCCTTATATTCCCAATATTAAAAATAATTAGAAAGAGGTGGTTATCTTTTCTACAGGCCTCAAGCTTATCTCCATCCTCAAATATGCCACTAATTACTAAAGTGAACATTCATGAAACCATCTGTCTGGCATTATAATCAGATAGCTGGACAAGAGGCCCTGATCCTACAGACAATGAGGTCTCAGTTCAGGGAAACTTCCAAATTTTAGAAATGCTGACTGCACTAGGACTGAATGCATGTGCTGGAAATTTAATACAAAGTTAACTGCTTTCCTGAATTAGTACAATAAATTGAAATGCTTTTGAATCAGCAGGAAAATTTCCCCATATTTCATTGAGCCCTGATTCAGGCCTTTATTACTTCCTTCTTGTATTACTAGAATCAGGATTTTAAATTGAATAATTTTGCATTGCAATTAAGTGTACAGTTAATACTCCAGGAATAGTCATGCATAGTTTTTAAAGTTTATTTGTTATTTTTGAATAAGGCAGTAAGCTGAGGTCACTTAATTGTTTTCAAACTGAGTGATTTGAGCATCCATAAATTAATTCATCTTCTTGAGTGCATTGTAGAACATAGCATAAAATAAGCATTTACAGTCTATGCTATACTGTGCTGTATAATTTGTGAGTGTGGTTTTCCATGTATGTTCTTTAATAAAAGCATTCCATTGTATTTCTTTATCTGAAAGAGCAAAACCGAAATGCTGAAAATAAAAACCTGAAAAAGGAGCCATAACTGATCATGCTGTCAATGAAGACATGCAAAAAAGAGTTATTCCAAAATGGAGAAACTGAAAACAGCACTAAGAAAAATTAAGGAAAAAGTAAACACATAAAACGTGTTTAAAGGGCTTAAAAAAAAAATAATGATACAAACAATTCTGAAGTATTTCTTACCTTCTTCAGTCATTGTGTCATAATATTTTAGGTTTCCATATGATCCAAGCTCTACAACATCACAGTAAAAGACACAAAGATAAGGAACCAGCAGACATTCAAGAAATGTACATGTTTTTGCATGTGCTTCATAAACTCGAACAGTGATTATGGAAAAAAATTTGCAGGACAGCGAAACAAGGATTACAGAAATGACAGTGCCTTGCCCTGTAGAAATTTCACAAGTCACTGGCTTTAGATAAATAATTTGCTAAAGTGAGATGTAGGAGAAACACTGAAATCTAAAATTCAGCCTTTTCAAGGTGATTGAAAATTTGGCACCTCTACATTTGGGCAAATGTAATAAACCTTGGTAGCACCTAACCAGCAGGAACTTTGGAAACTAAGCTCTTTTAACATTCCCCAGGTCAGACATTCACATACTTATGCATCCAAATTAAACATCCCAAACCCCAGAACCTAAGGAACTGTTCATAATGCTGTCCCACAAACATCATTTTGATATCAGTGCTGATGTTTACTTGCTTTAGAGCGGTTATTTAATTTAACCATCCCCTTATCACTTGTGAAATCAGAAAAAAAAGTATTTACTTCATCAGGTGGTATGAGATGTAAATTAATTAAATCATTAAATAGATCTGAATATATTGCATTACTATATTCTATCAGGGCAGAGAAAAGAATAGAGTGCAGAGATCTCCAGACCTTTAGGACTAATATTATTTTTCTGTTTGTTACAACATTGGATGAAATAACTTTTTTTTTTTTTTCCTCCAGAAGTTGCTTTACACTTCATTTCTTAAAGTTTGGCATATATGTAAATATAGATATGTAAATACGGTAATTAATGTAGGTCTAAAACCAGGACAGAAATACTAAGCACAAGGAGGAATTTGTAAATTACTTGTCTGAGGAATATGTGGATGATTTCACTCATCATTTCAATGTAAATTTTTACAGCTGAGCTTCTGAATATCCAACATTTGATAGAGTGTAATCATTAAAAGATGGGTACTTAACAGCTGGGTAGTGCTGTTATCTTTGGAAATATTCTCTCTTCATGTTTATGAAACAGCTTAAACAATGAAATGTACAAATGATGTCCAATTATTCTGTTTTTAGTAGATGCGCCTCCTGATCTTTCAATATTTTTTCACACAGGTGAATTTCAATACAGGTCTGGCTATTAGTTTTTAACTATAAAATACTGTGATGATATACAAATGTGATACCTTGAAAGGTCATTTTTAAAATCTATTTGCAGATACCTGAATCTGTCAAACAAACATTTCTTAAATCATTTACAGAGAAAGAGAAAGCCTTATGTCATATAAGGCATAAATAAGGCAGAAAATACAGGATATTATCACTACTAAACTTTAAAATAATTAAGATTGTATTATACTGATTTTTTCACAGACATATTTTATCAAAACCAGTTGCAAATATTTACATACTCTTGCTTGTACAATGCAGTGTCTTATTTGCACGAAATTATGCCCAATAAAACATGACATCATTCTATAGTCTCTCTTAAAGCAAAGAAAGGTTTCATTTAAAGACAGAATTTAATGTATTGTTTTATAATAATATGCAATGCATATACTGTTACACAAAAATGTTCTTAGTGTTGCCACATAATCTTTGTAGCTGCTTTTACATAAAAGAGCTATTGTCCTAGCATCCTGATTTTAGTCTTAAGGATTTGAATTCCTTACCTGGAAGAGCTCTCAATAACTTCAATACAGACTCCCCTGCATACAGCATTAGGGACTACATATGCTGTTTAATTAGAGCCCAATAACTGCTGACTCTACAGCCAGGACCTTTGCTTAAACTTATCCTCAATGATTTCTGCCTTGATGTGTCTGGGGTCTGCTTTGCTAGGACTTGGGGTGAGACATCCACTGGAGGATGAGGACAGGAGTGGAAAACAGATGCCAAAAGGAGTCCAAGAGTAATCAGAGAAATGGAAGTACATGCAGGAGACAACACTGCCAGAGAGGTGTTGTATAAACTCATGGAGAACAGAAGAGTAAGGATAGGGGTGCAGATGGACAAATTTGAGAAGATGATTGTACCATAGCAACAAACTTAAGCATTAATAGAACGATAGCATGAGGCCTCTGACTTAATGGATGAAGCAGATGTTTCAGAGGAAGCCAATAACAATGGTGAATTATGCTAAATCTCCAAAAGAAATAAAAGTGGCAGCAGAAAGGCAGGGCACTTGACATAATGGCAATCCAGTTTAGATCTATTTGCTTCCCATCTGAAGTGAGGTAGAATAGACAAACTGGAAAGAAAAAGGGACTCTGACCTTACAGAGACCGGAGAGAAAAGAATCAAGGAGATGCATGAGAGTGTATGACGCTGATGATAATCATATTCTGGGCCCTTCAGCAATTCAACTAGGTTTAAACAAGGTTAATTCTTGCAGTTAGCAAAATTATTTCCTGGAAAACTCTAATCTTGCTGGTGAGATTATGTTCCTCAAAGCTTTTATAGTCCTATATCCAGAGTGGAACATTTTATACAATCACCAGCCCACTGGCTGCAATGCACAGTGATGATGCCAGAAAATGTCAGTTGCACATACTCGCATGCATTATTTTGTGGATTTCAAGATTACTTTGGTCAGTGCCGCTCAGCAACATAAAAGGTCTGCTTCTATACAGTCTGCTGCCATTATATTACGCTGGCTTCTGCTATAAAATTTGGACTAAATCTGCTCTTTGGTATTTGTTTTTTAATTTTTCTGTTATAATAAGGTTCATCAATATGACTCTAAGTAAATGGAAACTGATGTACTTTTTGATAAAATATTGTATCGGGAAAAGTTCTCAGTTTTTAAAATAAAATGGAATTGAAAAAAATAAGTAGTGTGATAAAGGGTATTTGAAAAAATACCCCAAAATCCAGTTTCATGAACAGGCTATGCGGTTCCCATGGGGAGGTAATAGCAGACAGACTGGCTGACAGCCAGTACCTGCATCCCTGCTGGTTGCATGAAACAAAGAGGATGCAGAGACACAGCTTAACAGCTGATCCTCAACAGTGACAATCACTGAATTAATTTGTTCCCTTCTGCATATTTTTACACTAGAAGAGAACAGAGGGTTCCTGGTAATCCTGTCTGACATTCCTGAAGGATTACAACAATATTTGCCTTACTATTATCTACTATTATCTACTGTGTATGTAGGTGCCATACCATATCAAAGTAAGCACAAAGAATAATGTTGTTAGTCAACAGTGCTACGTTATTTGTAATTTCAAATTACACTCAGGACAGCCAGCATGGCTTCACCAAGGACAAGTCCTGCCTGACCAACTTAGTGGCCTTCTACGATGGAGTGACTACATCAGTGGACAAGGCAAGACCTATGGATATTATCTATTTGGACTTTTGTAAGGCCTTTGACATGGTCCCCCACAACATCCTTCTCTCTAAGTTGGAGACATATAGACTTGATGGATGGACTGTTTGATGGACGAAGAATTGGTTGGATGGTCACATCCAGAGGGTAGTGGTCAATGGCTCAATGTTCAGATGGAGATCACTGACAAATGGTGTCCTTCATGGGCCTGTATTGGGACCAGTACTGTTAATAGCTTCATCAGTGATATAGACAATGGGACTGAGAGCACCCTCAGCAAGTTTGCAGACCACACCAAGCTGAGTGGAGCGGCTGACACGCCTGAGGGACAGGATTCCGTTCAAGAGCGAAGTCCTGCAGCCTAGGATGGGGAAATCCTCCGTATCAGTACAGGCTGGGGGATGAAGGAATTGAAAGCTGTCGTGAGGAGAAGGACTTGGGGGTAATAGTGGATGAAAAGCTGGTCATGAGCCTGCAATGTGTGCTTACAGCCCAGAAAGCCAACCATATCCTGGGCTGCATCAAGAGAAGTGTGGCCATCAGGCTGAGGGAGGGCATTCTTCCCCTCTGCTCCTCCATTCTTGTGAGACCCCACCTGAAGTATTGTGTCCAGCTCTGGAGTGCTCTGCACAGGAAAGATAAGGACCTGCTGGAGTTGGTCCAGAGGAGGGCCACAGAAATGATCAGAGGATGGAACACCTCTCCTATGACGAAAGGCTGAGAATTGGGCTTGTTCAGCCTGGAGAAGAGAAGGCTCTGGGGAGACCATATTTCAGCCTTTCAGTACTTAAAGGGCGACTATAAGAAAAATGAGGACAAACTTTTTAGTAGAACCTATTGCCATAGGAGAAGGGGTAGTGGTTTTAAACTAAAAGAGGGTGGTGAGACACTGGAACAGGTTGCCCAGAGGGGTGGTAGATACCCTATTTCTGGAAACATTCAAGGTCAGGTTGGATGGGGCTCTGAGCAACCCAATCTAGCTGAAGATGTCCCTGCTCACTGAAGGATGAGGATTGGACTAGATGACCTTTAAAGGTCCCTTCCAACTCAAATTATTGATTGTATCATTCTATGAAATAATATACTTAATTACTTAGTTTATTTTCAGTGTTCACTCACTAAGGATTGCAGGTACCATCTGCAGTGAAATACTGATTTCTGCCTTTTAAATGTAGTTTCCCAGGCTGCCATAGAAGGAAAGCATAGGCAGTATTTCTCTTTGCTGTTCTGCTACAGAGATCTCAGATACAGACTGCAGTTGTCCCTAGTTATGTCAGAACTGAACCTGGCTTAGAGTTTCTCAAAATACTCATAACACATAGAGCTATTTCAGAGATAGCAACCTAAATTGTTTAAGGTGTGTATCCCTTAATGAAAAATGTGAACTCAAACTCTCAAAACGAAGTAATGCATTGTGGGTTCTCTGTCAAGCATAAAATTTTCACTTTGCATAAAAAACATATTTGTGTGAAAATTCATGTCACACTTCTCCAGGTAATTAAACAGCTTCAGAGCTGACATATGTTTTACTCAAAACAAAACTGCTAAAGAGAAATCACTGAACACAATCCCCACATTTTTAGTGCAATTTCACCACTGCATTTACTTGACCTTCCTTGTGTTTGACTTCAGCTCAAAACTGATAATTGAAACTGAGAATTAGCATGCAGC